CTTTCACTTAGCAACACAATACAGGGGTGGGAGTGCTGCGCGGGCGGGTTTTGCTGCGACCCACCCGTGGTGACAAACCCAGTGACAAGGGAACCAAGTGACTTGGGTTTATGTTGCCGTGAAGAAGGGTGTCCACCTTGCCACCACTCCTTCCTCTGCACCAAGGCGGAAACAGATAGTGCCCACAAATTCTGCCAGTGTTGGCTTTTTATTTCTGCCTCCCTCTGCCAGGAAGCAGGTGCTTTGCTGCCGTGGTATGCCATAACCCGCTGAGCTCTGCGAGGTTACGCTGCTCTGGAGCAGATGAGGTGATTCACTTCATCCTGTGATTTCCCTATCTGTAAAATGGGAACAATAACATTTACTTTATAGAGTGCATGGAGGTCCTTGCACAGCAAAGCTCTGTATAAAGGCAAAATATGGTTAATATTATTTTCGTACAGACACGGGAGTTTCCTGTAACTGCTCGGCTTGCAGTTGGGAATACATTTATCTGGCAGCCTTTCAGTGTGCAGAGGAAAGTGCAATAGCCTGAAGACAGGAATGAAGACAACCTAACCTCTTCTGTTTGTTGGAGTTTTTTTCTTTTTTTCATGTCATTCTCCATTGCTGGAAAAAATAGGTGCCAGAGCCCTGAAGAGTCTTTGATGTCACAGATGATCTGATAACCTTGGTGTTGTACTGTGAAAGCCAGGGTCACGCAGAGGCTGTAAAATGAATTTTTAGATCTCAAAAGTTAGAAAATTAAAGCACGTTGAACAGTGTGCTTTAATTGATCTCATAGTCTGAGGAGCAGAGCTTTTGCAGCAGCTTACAAGAAAGAATGTCAGCCTAAAACCAAGCACGGTGATGACTGCCATAACTGGGCTCATTAACTTCAGCAGAATGACTTGTGATAATATACACTCCTAGCCCATAGGAAGATTTTTGCCATGTATAGCACCGAATTTAGCATGTAATAAGGAAATACAGTTTGGCTGGTGGAACTTTAAGGGAAAGGTTATACTTTTTTGCTTGGAAGTATCTCATTTTGCTATTCACACCAGTCCTCTTTGATCAAATTAACATTTTACTATAAGTAGCAGAGCACTCAGTTCATGCTATTCATTATCTTGTCACAAAACAATGAGAATAATTTAAACTGGCTATATTGTGTAAGGCTTTTTCTTTTTTTAATTGGAAAGCACACAGCAACATTATGATCATGCCCTACTGGCTCCACTGTGAGCAGTGCAATATTTACACGCTGTATTAAGGAGAATGAAAGTATTTTGAAATATTTCATTACCAAGGAAGTAGCTCTACGCTAGAAAAGCAGCAGAATAGAAATGAAGAGGAATTGTATGAGTGAACTCTCTGGAAAAATATCATCTTTAGACAGTGATGGATTTGCATGGTCTTGATCAGGGCCAGTAGCGTGGGTGCCACAGGTCACTGCAGGATTTCCAGGCTGCACATAGCAGATTTGAAAGTAAGAAACCAAGAATTTTAGCACAAGCTGATGAAAAGCAACTGTGCTATGGCACACATATTTCTTAGCCAGAGTGGGATAGTTCCACCCAAGAGGTGGGTGTGTGAACTTTCCAGTGGCTCCGAGTTGTGCAAGATCATTAGGTTTTAGCCATTTTCCATACTGGGCATCTGTCTCTGGCTGCACTCTCTTTTCTTATTTCAGGAAAAATTGTTCAACCATTTCTAAGAACAAGATTAAGAAAAAATATCCAGTTTTCCCCACATGTTATGAGTTGTTCTTACTGTTTTGGTGAGGAGCCTGCTGTGCCCATATTTAAGAGAATGGGCTTGGCACTTGATGAGGGAAGGTTTGCCTTTTTCTCAGGGCTGTATCTTCTGTTGCTTCAAGTAGCAATTAAAAAAGCCCCAAGTTGGCCAGCCTATAAGCGTCTGGAAAAAAGGAAAAAAAAGAGTTCACACAAACTCAAGGGGATCTGGTTTGAATTTGTTGGCTTTGATGTGCGTGCCTGTCCCAAGCAGGCTGCAGTCGGTCCCGGGGACAGCCAGGTTTCCTCTCTGGGAGCAGGGGAAGGTTCAGTGTGGCGCTGAGCTCGGGGAGGGGAGGGGAGGTGCTCCCCCAGCCTGCCCTGGGACTGCCAGCATCGGCGTGAGGGCACGGGAGAAGGAGCACTGGGACTGGGACTGGGCTGCTGCGAGGACAACTGGAGAAGGAGCGACGAGGAGAAGAGGGAGGAGGAAAGCGTGGGGGTAAGACTGGTTCTGGCAGTTGTTGGGTCGCGTGAGCTTTGGGCTGACTTTTGCCTGTCTGGAGCTAAACGCACTGGGATGCTTGGGGAGAACAGAAGTGGTGCTTCCAGCAGCCAAAATAAATTAGGGAGGGGACAAAGTGACCAGCAGAGAGGAGTCAGAGAGGCAAAACCAGTTTTTGTGTGGGAGCAGCACCGCAGGCACTCTCTGGGGTCCGGGGTGCAGGTGAGGAATGGGCAAACGCAGCCCATGCCACACGGTGGGGCCGTGGTTGGCATCGCTGGGCAGAGCACCCAGAGGCAACAGGACAGTGGCAGGGGCTGGAGGAACCCAGGTAGCTCAGGATGGGGGTTGTGCCAGCACGTTCATTAACGTTTCTGAAGCACTTGGATCCTTTGATGGTGGAGACCAGAGCACAGCCTGTGAGGACACAGTGAGTCCTGTCTGCAGAGGAGGGTGGGATCAGTTTGGGGTAAATAAATGGCAGAGCTCACACGTGGAATAAGGAGGACAAAGCAAATTGCCCCTCCATCGAGCAGGAGTCATCCTGAGGGCTGAATGAAGTAGGGGGTCTCGTCAGGACAGAGTAACAGCACGTTCCTGTGCAGTTCCAGCCTGCCTCCCAAAGTGCTCAGCACACCCACGGCCCTGGCACTGGCTTTTCAAAACTTTAGAAGTGCTCAGTTTTGAAACTACTGTTCTTTTAACAGGTTTTTGTGTGTAATTTATAATTTATATCACAACAGCACCCAAAAGTGCTTTCCAGACACTGAACACATCTATAATTCTGCCTCTAAAAAGCGTCCGTTTTGGAAAAAAAAAACTTGACCAGTATTTCCTGAATAGAATGGTGCAAAGTTTCTGTTGATGTGTTTTTAACAATGCATAGTCTGAAGTCTTGTCTGGTGTTACTCACAGGATTCCAACAGGTGCTGGGATCGGCTGGGGAGGCTGTGCAGCACGGGCAGCTGACAGCTCACTGTACATGCAGATGTAACATCTATTAGAAATATCCTCTGTGGTTTGCTTGCATGCGAGCTGAACGGCTCCTCAAAACAACGCTGCCGTGAATGGAAGCCATCAGCAGGATTGCTCAAGGCTGCAAAACCCATTACTTAGACAGCAGTAGATGCAAGAGCAAGTGCCACGGCGTAGTAGCTTGTGCTGCTGTGCTGGAGTTGCTGGGCAGTTATTAGATCAATATATGTACAGCCACGTCTAATAAAGTGAGAGAAAATAATTTATCTCTGTGCGTATTGTTAGCTCAGGTTTTATCCTAATACCATCCAGCTGCATAAACAACGTAAGCTTCCTCTGTGCCTTTTTACTGCTGCTGCCATTTGTTCAGGCACACAATGGGTTGTGTCCCAGATTCTGATATTACAGCCATCTTACTGTACTTTTTAATTACACCTGTAGAACCTGTGCAGAGTCGTTTGATACAGTGTTGTGAGCAAACAGCAGAGATGATGCATTTGGTATTTGATTGCCATTGGTCTGGTGATTGATTAAGGTGCAGGCTGAGTCTCTGCTCTGACTGGCAAGTCAAACATCCATGCACACAGGGGCTTAGGTTTCATGTCGGCTGTTTTAGATGACTTAAGTTTTCAAAAGGATTAGCTGAAAAAGCAGGAGTCTGGCACAGAAGTTATGGTGAGGTAGAAATGGCAGCGTGAATTTATTACTTAATAAAGGACAGGACCCATCACTGTAAAGGGTAAAAGTTGATAGGAAAAGTTTTGACCTTGGTTGGTTTTGGCTCATGGGTTTGGAACAGTTGGTGATGTGTCTTAGAAGTGGAGGTAGAAAATCATTTTAACTATTTTCTGCTGAAAGTGCAGCATAGTTTACATAGAGTAGCCCAGGTAAAAAGCAGAGATTACTCAAGGAGGTAAGCAGTGTGGTTTTATAACAGTAAAATAGATGGTTTTTAAAAAAAAAGCAGAAAGTCTGGCCAGGAGAAGTACATACTATAAAAACAACCAGGTTTTGTTCCACTTTCCTTAACCAGGAGGTTATACACAGTTATGGAAAAGACTTTGCTGCTGTTCATTGCCTGAAGTTACTGGTCCATCTGTCTCTGCCCTAACTCTTGCACAGACAATCTTTGCTCATGATTCTGCCTTTCTCTTTTCCATTATTATTCAATATTTATATGGGAATTTTGTCTGGTAGCCAAGTCACAGGCTTATCAGATATTGTGTAAATCCCCAGCAGCCAGTAACTGATCTGTGCAAAATCGTCAGTTTAGGGTTAAATATCGTTGAATAAATAGACCTGCTGAAAGAACAGAATCTAACAATTCATGTTTTGGGAAGTAATTACTGAAGAAAGACAGCCCACAACATTGTATGTGTGTTAGAGAGAATGGTCAGAATATCTTTTAATTCAGCATTTACCCGTGAGAATTATTCCCACGAGGAACCTTGCAATAAAATCTGCTTGGTCTATGAGAATAGAAAGAAATTGAATAAAAAGACTCCATTTCCACTTGTATTTATTCAGTCTGGGAAATTCAGTGGGCCGCAGCATTAGTATCAGCAGGGGATTCCTTGCTCCTAGCGTTAAATTACTGTCATAATCGCTCAATTATTTCTTCCTTGTACTGTTTAAAATAAAAATCCATCACATTCTATGTTTTTTTCTAACATTTATTAGGTTGAGTGTTTAGGAAAATCAATTATATTCAGTCAGGCATGAATTGATGAATGTTCTTGTAATAATTGTCAGTTGTTAAACTGAATGTACTTTCTCTTTTCACCCCTTTTCATTTCCTTCAGAGGGCAGAGGTGGCTCAGAGAGAGGCAGAGACCTTAAGGGAGCAACTCTCATCAGCTAACAAATCTCTCCAACTTGCTACACAGATCCAGAAGGCACCTGATGTGGTGAGAGAAAATATTTACTGACTCTTACAGGTTTCTGATGTTCCTGCAGTACAGCTCTTTCAATTTATGCTCGCAGCTATGAAAGTATCTGTTTGGAGTAATATTTTCACTGAAATGGAATTGTGTTCCTTTGGGATTGTGGTTTGGTTAAACTCCTGAGGGGGCTGGTTGCTGCAGAAGACCACGGGAAGGACAGAGGTCACTCTGACCGTGGTGATCCAGAGCTGTCCACAGCTGCCAGTCCAGGGGGGTAGCAGCAACTCAGAAATTATTTTACTTCAGTAAGAGCGTCAGCAGAGGAAAACTAAAGGCACCAGTGCAGTGTCACAGAGAGTGCCTTGGTGGCCCGTGCCTGCTGGGGGCATGGCAGAGTCCAGGATCTTCAGACAGGGCACCAGCTTTGCCCAGAGCTGGTTGCATGAGCAAGGACCTGCTGCCTGCCCCTTCCTGGGACTTGCTGTTCTGAGTGTACAGGCTGTTGGAGGAACTACAGATCAATTCAGTATCAGCCCAGTTTCCACTGAATATGTCTGAACTGACAATTACACCTATAAATCAAATAAAAGAAGCTTATAAAATTGAGAAGATACCCTGTACTCCCCAAGGCTTGGCTGCTTGCTGGCACATGTCCCTAAATACAGCGAGCACTGTGGTTTGGGGAGGTTGGCAGCACCAACTCTGCTGATGGGACCTTGTGGGCACAGTGATGTTGCAGGACACCAGCTGGTCCTGGGCTAACAGGTATCACAGATGAGCAGACAGATTATTTTAGTTTTTGCTTGCCAAAAGAGAAATAGGAGTATTTAAATGTAAATATGCAATTAAGTGAAATCTAGTCTACTTCTGAGCAGCAGATTTAACAAACAAAAGAAATCACTCTCCTTCTATTGCATTTTTCTTGCAAGCCATATACGTGCTCGATGCTGCTGTCGGAGGGACACGTGGTTGCCTTTAAAATACATCTGCAGAGAATGAGTAACAAACCATAAGTCCTTCAGGTCTGTTTGGTCATCTGCTAGTACCACCCAGTATTTTCTCAGAGAAGTCAAAAGACAGACAAGCAGGCTGCAAACCAAAAAAAAAATAATAAGGCTGAATATCACTTGTAACTCTGAATTACCTGCCTCTCCTATCTCCTGTCCTAGTCTTATCATTATTTTAACATTAGGTCTTTCTTGTATTTAATAGTACTTCTGCACTTCATTTATATTTAATATGACAACTACTGCAGGATGAAAATGATCATTATCTATCTTATTTCAGACTCTACATTCTAGTCTCAATAGGCACAAGCAGCAGATTATTATACAACTTCTGATGTTTCATGCAAGCAAATTAGAGGTTTTTCAAGTTAAAAGTGCAATTCAGTGTAATAGGAGAGCGTTGTTAACTGCTGTTCCTGCGTGTAGCTTTCTGTGAGATACAGTGGTGTGCAGTCACTGAGAATCAAGCAAAGTGTTTAGAAGATCTGGAGAAGGTATTTTATTATGCCTGTATTTTCCAGAAAAGAGGGGGTGGAGTATATTTCAATCTGCAGCAATGTCATCGTGAATCGCAAGGGAGGTGCTTGGGTGGCAGCAGCAGTGGGTTGAATTTCCCTCTCTTTCTCTGGAGGAGCTGTGGTGTGATGCTCGTGGTCGGTGTCTCTTGGTAAATGGATTCCTTCCCACTTCACTGGTGTTTTGAGGAACAGCTATTAACCCTTTTGAGACATGGTTTAGACTCTTCAGTGGAACGTGCGGTGATTATTGGGCTGCCTCGTGCTCCCCAGATCTGCTCAAGGTTTTGCTTGTGGTCTTTGTGGAAGAGAGATCCAGAGCTCTCCAGTCCTGCTGATCTCTTAACACAGAAGGACAAAGGAGATGGTACAATTAGTCTGTGTTACCTTCTCTGAACAGATCTACCTTCTTAACTTCTCTGTCCTCTCTTATTTCTTGTCTTACTGTCTTATTTCTTCTGCTGCTGGGAAGTCAGTCTAGTAAGGAAGTTTCAGACTTGAGGACAGATTATGCAGCAATGGGAAACTGGAAGAAGAAAGACCCAGATTTAGGAAAGGGAATTTCTGAAAGTGGAGACCAAAGGGAGAATGGCCTTGTCTTAGAGCTGTCACATCTGTCTTCATCCTCATGGAGGAGAGGTTTTAGTTGTTAGCAACGATGTTAACAGGGAGTAATTTTCATGCAAGGAGCAAGTTCATTGGAAGTAGCAGTTTGGGGCAATTTTGTACAGTTTTGCCTGAAACATGCAGCACGCATATGAAGAGCCAAAGGCACATAACTCTGCCATTCCTGATTAAGAAATTCTGCTCCATTACTTCAGAAAATTTTATCTGATTAGTATTTTGTAAGCACAGATTTTCATAGTTGTCAAAGCATTTGGACTATTAATAATAAATAGATCTAAATAGAATCCTTTGACTTTCATGGCTGCATCTTCCCAGTGCACTTATGAAACAGGGAAATTTATTCTCTCCATTATCCCTGTTTTTCCAGAGAGCTGTCCTGGAAAACACGGGAGACCCAGATTTATAAATTATTTCTGTTAAATAATATCATGCTACCCGCTGCCATGGTTGGTCCTTTCCTAACTGCCCTGAGTTCAGGCTTGTTGCCTTTTTTGATGCCGTGTCCTGATGCTGTTTCCCACCCCAGGAGCAGGCCATCGAGGTGCTGACACGGTCCAGCTTGGAAGTGGAGCTGGCTGCGAAGGAGCGAGAAATCGCCCAGCTCGTCGAAGATGTGCAGAGACTCCAGGGCAGCCTCAGCAAGCTGCGGGAGAACTCCAGCAGCCAGATCTCCCAGCTGGAGCAGCAGCTGACCGCCAAGAACAGCACACTGAAAGTAAGGCTCAGTCCCCTGCTCGGCAGCTTCCGCAGGCTTGAGCGGACGTGCCGGTGCTGGGGTTTGCTGGTGTGAGTTTTCTGTGGTTCTGAGGGGTGCTGTAAAAGCCATTGACTTCTTCAGGATGCTGCTGGATTCTGGTTTCTGTGACATTTTATTCTAAGCAGTCACAGTTGTATTGAAAATTAATTTACCTCATTCTCATTGCTTTGAAATTTGTTTTTGCGGGACGTGGCTACCTTTAGAATTAAAACTATCAACAAAACTCAACATATATTTACCATGGATATGTAGTGAAATAGCTGAACTGAAAAGTCACCCAAAATCTTTAGTAGGTTTAAAAACTTCAGATTCCCATTCCAGTGATGGGTATTGCAGATTTGCCAGGAATGTTTATTGTGCTCTGGTCTATCTTTGAACTTAGCTGCTAGCCCCTCCACTGGAAAAGGGAAGTATGTCATTCAGAGCATAAAACCAAGTAAAATCAAGACACAGAGAAGGCTTTTTAGCCTCAATAACCATTTAATTATTTTTTAACTTTATATTTGCTGCACAGTAATTTGCATTTGTAATTAGCAGTCCAGTCCTGTACTCAGTTGTATACTAGTGGCGCTGCACTAAACCCAGAAGAAACATCTAACAGTTTTGTGAGTGACCCTTTCACCTTTTGCTTCAGCAGCTTCACTTTCTTTGTGCACTAGCCCACACAGTCCTGATCCAGCAGGGAGCATGAGAAATGTTTCCTGACATGGGTTATGAATCAGTTTCCTGTAACTCCCATCTCTTCCATTGTTCCACCGTCTATGAGATTCAAAGTGTAAACAGGATAAATTTATCTATTCCATTAAAGACTTCATAGTTTTGCAGGCTTTACAGTCTGAGGTTTTTTGAAAGCAGGAGGCTGGTAGTACCCACTTAGCCCTGACTGTGGCATGGGTAGCTTTCCTTTATCAGAATGATTTAATGTTCAATTGAAACTCTTATAAATTGTTCTAACATTTTTTTAGGTGTTGCTAGTTTTGCTCTGGTGTAGCATCATTTATGTGGAGAAATGGCTGTTAGGGATGAAAGCCAAAGTGTTGCATTCAAATGCTTTCTGCATGTTTTAATACAGCCTTGAAGAATTCCTCTGAAAATTCAGTAAAGCAAAGGAAACGTTTTAGGTTCCTCTGTTGACAGTATTGGTCTCTGCCCATCTGTCCCTGTGTGGGCACCCCTCTGAGGGAGGGAGGAGGGAGCTGGCCTGCTTCTGAGGGACACGTTTTGCTGCCTGCACTCATGTTACGGAGGGTTTTTTTCTTTTTTTCATAAAGCCTGATAGAAAATATCTTGAGTCCTTGCACTTGACAGATTTTCGTGGAATAAAGCATGTTCCTGGTGAGGTCAGTATTAGTTTAACCATTAACTTCAAAGGGAATAGGATCACAGAAATGACAGAGCAAGTCTTTGATTTTCATTTTGGTAATCTCCCTCCATTTTCTCAGAGGCTTGCTGCCTAATGCTCTGTGCTTAGGTTCCTGTGGAGGGTGTCTGAGGCAGTGACTGCTGATAAAGTTGTAGTCATTTCAGCCCTCTTCAACCTCATTTGTCGCACTACAAAAATGTTTCAAAATACCTACTTTTACCTGGGAAAACCTGTGTCTGAGATCTGTGGTACAGAGAACCAAATCTCAGTGGTGATGTGTTGATCTTATGTTTGATTACAGAGGAATTGCTTCTAAAATAACTGGCTGTGTTGGTTGCCTCCACAAAAAATGAATCCCAGTTTCACAAATTAAAGCAATGTTCTCAGACCATATCTTGGGGGAATTCTTTAATACTCTATGACTTAATGAAACAATGCAGAAATACTTTCAAAATTATTGCTTCTTTATCTTCATCTGATCTAATAATCAAAACATGTCCTCTAGTAACAAGAATTTTCCAGCTGTAATTATATTAACCCTTTGTTGCTGGGAGTGAGTTTCCCAGCTCCCCAGTTAAAAATACAGCAGGGCTAGTTAGCAAAGAGATGTATCAAATAACCTGTGTTAATTAAACACTGGCTTTCCAGTTTATCACTCTAAACTATGACATCAGTCTAATGCATTTTTAAAATGGTTTAAGCCCCTTAATGCAGCCCATGCTATTTACCCAAGACACTTTAGTTGACACCATAGTAACAATTTAGGTTTTTTTAAATAACAGAAGAGGACCCAATTTGGGTTCATTCATACAACCAATACAAGATGGTTCCTTAACATTGAATATTTGCAAACCTAGTATGCAGAAATGGCACCAGTCCTGTCCTCCTGTCCTCTGGCTCCCTGCATTTCTGTGTGTTGGACACAGAGAGAGAGAGCATATATTTTGTCTGAATTAACCACGTTGATATTTAGTGCAAGATATTAGTTCCTCCAGATTGTCTCACAGCTTGAACCTTTGTTATACCATGTTCTGTGCATTTTACAAGGTTCCTTGAGACAATTACCATACTAATACATTTTAAAACAGTCATTGACTGGGAAGATGCCAAGTGCCTAAATGGTCTGCTTATATACAGGCACTGCCTTCTCAGTTGTTAGTTTATATTGTTTAGTAAAGTGTACATTTAGGTGCAGGTTTTCCATGGCAACAATCTCTGTATTAGGTACTTGGGAGTGATGGATGTATGTGGGGTTTTATACAATTCAAAGTAAAGTATTGCTGGTTGCCTTACTGCTGTAAGAGCATACGAGTGCCTGAGAGTCCAAAACAGCTTCATTCTGTCCACATCTTGGTTTTTTTTTTTACCTAAAATTTCCAGAAATACTTTCAGGGTATAGCATATCCCTACACAGAATTACATTTAATACAGATTGCATTAAAATTGGAATCAATAGCTCTGTATTTTATAGCTGTTTCTACAGAAGGCTTTTTTTGTAGCATATCTTTGCATAAGTAACTCACCAGGATGTTGTTTGTCATGTGTTGTTCAGCGAGGTCTTCCCATTGCCTGCATCGAGTTTTAAAGCTGTCAGTCATGCTGCTGAGTCTCCTCCCCAGTACTGAGGGCACTCGAGCTCACCGGTTCCATTTAAAGATCCCTCTCCAGTCTCACTGAGCCTGATCTGTTGCATTAAAGTCTAGCTGGGTTCCTTGTTAATGGAACTCTTCTGCTCAGCATGGAGCTGTAGCTTGAAGAGCTGCATGAACCTGTGACATGTTGGAGCTGGCCCTCCATGAGCTTCAGAAGACTGGAGTGACACCTTGGGTCCTGGGATGACATTGTACATTTGCAGAATGAGGTTTCAGCACATGTTGGAGGTTATCAAATCCTCTAACATCTTGAATATTTGTAGGATTTTCCTAGCTGTACCAGCACAGGGTTTTTTATCAAGACCAAAACACTTGGAGCCCTGTGTCTGCTGTATAAAGCAAAGCCAATGGTCCCTCTAGTTCCAGTTAGTAACTGGAGTTTGGTGAGGCAATGGACGTCAGAAGAAATGACTAGAACTTGCTCTGTAATTATTCCAGGTGAAAAAAAAAATGGTTTAACTGTAACAGGCATGTGTTTTTTTTCTTTTTAACACAATCCAAATGCCTGTACCAGTTACTGGTGGCTAAGGATGCCAGGACATGAGACCTTTTAGGAGGCAGCTCATTTCATCAGTGTCCCATGGAGTGCAAATTCCACACTAACAAGACCTTCTGCTTTCCTGCAACAACCAGTGGAGGTGACCCAGTAAGAGCTGTTGGCTGAGCAGGTGCCAGAGCAGAGCCCATGTCTTACTGCTGGGAGATGCCTCTTGTCAGCAGTGCCTGAGGACTGTGGATTATGGTATCAAAAAGCAAGAACAGAAATGTCAGAGGGCTCTGTATTGATAACGTGGCCCTCCACTTTGTGGCTGCTTTTTAATACGTGTGAACGGCAAGGCAGAAGTGTCAGGGATGCATAAGCTGGAAAGGGCACAATAGGAAATCCCTTAAAAGGTGGCAAAGTAGCTGGAAGTCCAACAAAGCCCCACCGTGCTGCTGCTGTCATCTGAGGTACCCTCATTTAAGTTGTTGAGAAGTCTCAGATGATGGGCTCGTGTCTCTGGGGGTGCTGTGTTATCACACAGTGTTTGGGGTTGCTGCTTGAACCCATTGGATAGCTTTGAGATGGGTGGTACCTACACACCGACTCACTTGAGAGGACAGCATGGTTAAGAGGTTCCCACTTCTAGTTGTCCCCTGTCCCAGAGCTGCTGTTCATACACCCATAACTGTGCTGGTGCAGAGCTTTATGGGGCTGCATTATAAACAAATTTGCTAAACTTATCCAAGCTCCCCATAGATCTTCCCTGCCTTCCTCCTGCTTTCAAGAAGCAGCCCAGGAGTGGGTGTAGGATCTTCCCCAATTCACTTCTCCACTGCAGGCAGCTGTTCCTGGACATAAAGCCCAACTTTTCCATGTCTTATATTACCTTCCTTTTCAATGTAGCTGCTCTGTCTTTGAGGGTAATATATCCTCATGTTGTGTTTCTTGTGACCTTTGGGATTCTGTGCCCATTTTAACACCAAAAATCAAGTGAAGCAGAGCTACTCTGAACTTACCCATGGAAGCTTCAGGCCAGTGAGTCCTGTCCTTTCTTTGCTTACATCAGGTGCACCTGCACTAAGCAAAGAAATAATTAGTGGGAAATTCATGTGTCTTCTGCAGTCAGTTCTGTGTCACTATGTTTTAGGCCTCCTGAAGCATGAGCACTGTTGCTGGGAGCAGGGGCTCCTGGGCAAGGTCCCAGTGTGTGGCACTGCGTTACGGATTGGGCCAGGAGGTTTGCTGCAACATTTGTGGCACCTGCACACCACAGAGAAGCCACTGAGACTGCCCCAGGTCAGGTAGACCTGAGCACAAAGACCTGCTGGGTTGCTCTCAGTGCTTCATCTCCAGTGTGTAATCATATTAGTTATTGCAATAAGTAATGCTTGTAAATGCCTTGGTGCAGCTGTTCCGTTCGGGCACGAGGCACTGGAGAAGTCTCCCAGGCCTAAGGCATGCTAGCCAACAACAGCTTCTTCAGGCTTTTTATTTCTTCATGTGGGTAAGGTTATCAGAAACTGTCACATTAAGGATGCAGTGTGTGCCAAAGCATCCTGCTTGTTTACTCAATTTATCAGTTTCACAAAAAAACCCTTCAGCTGTCCCATTTTTAATACCTGATGCCCTAATGTCTTTATTGAACACATGATGGTGACATTGCAAACGGCCAGATTGGGACCTGCTGAATTCTGTAATGCTTGGCACCCTGCAAACAAAGGAAGACTGAGGTATAATTGTGTTTACATTGAATTGGTTATAGTTTGTTTTCTAATATATGTAAATTAAGTATGAGTCATTAACCCTCACTTGTGAGCTGCTGTATATATGGAATAATTTAAAGATGAATTTGAATGCCTGCAGAAAAAAAAAGCTAAATAATTAAATCTGTGTTCTTTCTTTTAAAGCAACTGGAAGAAAAACTCAAAGGACAGGCTGATTATGAAGAGGTTAAGAAAGAATTAAAGTAAGTGTTAAATGCCTACATAATTTTTTCACAAACTCTAACGATGCTTGTTAAATGAAGCCACAAATCTGTGTTCTTGGAACAATAAAGAATTCAGTCAAAACCACAAAGATGGGGAAATCGGGAGTATTGGCAGAAGTTGCATCCAGAACAAGTGTGACTTCTGTATCTGAGACTACCCCTTTCTATTGCAGCAGAGTATATAGCAAATAGTACAAGTGCCCATGAAGAAGAGGCGATGAAACTGTCTTCCACAAGGGTAAAAAGCTTGAAAATCTGTGGTATTTTAGGCAGACCACTCTTTAAAAATCCCCAGCCAACAGCTGAATGTGATGTGGAGCAAGAATTTAATGCAGGGCCTTTGGCCATAATACCTTTTGTGTGCTTTTGCCAGCCAGTGTTCAGCACTTACCATTTTAATGCTGTGCTTGTTCCACTGTATATTTTTGCTAATATATTGTGGTTTCAGACTAAAGCCACAAACAGCCTCTTCCTATTTCAAGGGTTTTTTTTTAAGAGACTTAAAAGAACCTCATTTTAAACTATAACAAGATAAGCTGTCAGGTTCAGAAGAAAAGTTTTCTGACTGGAAATATGTTTAGTGTCAAGGTTTAAATAACTGCAAGAAACTCCATCTCCTCTTTCATCATTGTGGCATTTTTGTGTGTATTTTAAGAAGACTGAGAGAACGTTACCTTGTTTAATGAGGTATTTCAGATGAGGCTGGGAGTCATGTGCTTCTGTGTACACGTCCCTGGAGAATATGGAGAGCAGGCTGGGCTTTGCACACCCACTGAGTGCCCAGCCCCTGCTGCCATTGTGCTCCAGCCACGCTGGCTGTGGTCTGGCTTCACTGCCAGCTGCAGCACACCCTCATGTGGGTTCATGGCTTCATCAAGTGAAATGAGTTGACCAGTACCTGGGCATTACACCTGAATGCTAACTGGTCTCAGAAAAGTGTCATGGCTTTGGTGATATGGGGAACTATGTCCACGTCCTCTCCTGAGTTCAAGAAACTGCTTCAGATTGCAGCTGGTTTCTGCCCTCCTGTGTAAAGTAGTGAATGGAAATTAGGCCACAACCTTCCAGTTTGCTGTGTGAGTTACTAAATGTGAATGTGCCAAAACAGCAAAGTTCTAAATCCTGCCTGGTTTAATGCCTTCACTTCAGAAACAAAATTCATTTAGATCCCTGCATTCCTGGCAGTAATGCCTCTTTTGGTTTGGGATTTTCCCTTCTCTTTTACAACCCTGACTTACATGAGCGTAGGGATGGGAAGGCAGATGAGAGGTCCAGCAGAAGCCATGACACAGGAGTCTTCATGTGATGCTTCTGCCTGTTCCTGTTATTTCAAGATGAGCCTGCAGTGAAATAGAGGGGAGAACTTCTGGAAGTGGCCCTTGTTGGTTACCAGTAAATTATCTCTGTTCTCCTGGCTGTGTTACAGCTTTTATATCCCTTAATTTGTGGGTAACATTTTTTTATCTGTGAGGGCTGGCTTTGGAGGGGCAGCCAGACAGCTTGTAGGTGACCTGAAGCCCATTCACTGTCCTGCTGGATTATGCAGGGAACTGAGACCCTCTGTGAGAACACTGAAGGTGTTTGCAGTGCTGCATCATCGCAGCAGCTCACTGGCATCACCCTCTTTGCTCCCATCTGCTCCAAAAGACGTGCCAGAATCTAAACGTGCATCACCTGAGCGTGGCAGTCTGACCTGAAGTGAAACTATGAAAAGTCTGTTGCTGAACACCTGGTATCCCTCCTACTGAATCCTGCTGTGCTTGCCTTTGTTCCCTGAAACACTGACAAAAATGAACTGCTGATAGCATGCTTACACACCAAGAAAAAAGATACCTTGTCAGTAAACAAGAAAGGGAATAAACTTCTCAGTTGTTTTGACACTGATGTATTTTCCTTAATCCTCTCAAGGATGTTAGAGGCATTCTAGGCTGAGGGAGTCTCAAGATCAGCCAACTTTTAACCTTGGAGGACCTTAACTGGGTCCCTGTCAAGATCTGGGACAGGAGGATTCCTTGCTTTCTGCATTGGCTTTTATGCCAAGTGGCTTTGAAACCTCTCTTTGAGATCTGAGAGCTCTGTGTGTCCTTTCAGTTCCCTCTTGAGTAATATGACAGCACTACCCTCCTGCCTTTGCAGCTGGGATCATACGAGCAGCCAGTCGAGCTGTCCCAATGCACACTTTGCTTTAGAGTGAGATCTTTCAAGTCATCTCAGATGTGCAGATTCAAGTCACGAGATCATTCCTTTAAAAAGCAGGTAACTGATCTTGGGCAGCAGATTGAGTGGAGATCTCATGGGCAAAGATATTCCTGGAATCCAAAGAGGAAACATTTCACTTCCTCATATTCCTGAGGAGAATGTCTCTTTTGTGACACGTTTGGAGGGTCACTTTTGACATATTTAACTTCGTAACATTTTTTTAAAAAATGTACCTGCTGTAGTGAATACCCCTCCAAGGGCAATTGGAGATACCATCAGTGTGGGGTTTAGTGTGTTTCAGATTCCAAGTGTATAGGAAATTACCTGTGAAATTGCCAGAAGGCTATTTCAGGTAGCAAAGAAACCACTTTTCAGTAGGCAGAGGTCAGTAAGTTTCCAGCTGAGGTTTGAATATGCATGCCTGCTCCAAGCTTGCTGAAACATGCAGCTGCTGCAAGGTTCAGGGTCCTTTCTGAAGGACCCAGCTGGCAGCAGGTACTCAGAACCAAAAAGCATCAGTAGGGCAGGCTGTGCAAGCAGAGGGCACAGCAGGAGCAGGGCTTTAGAGCCACACTTGTGGTGCCGAGAGCTTGCTGCACACACCAACGACACTCAGGCTGCGCTGCACTTCGGGCTGGTCTCAGTCTGGTTCTGTAGGCAGCAGGGTCAGAGCCTGTCACGCCCGCTCCTCCGACAGCAGGCAGCTTCTTTTGGTTTGGTCTCATCCAGAAGGAACGTGGTTGGTATGCTCCAGGACTGCTCCACGTGGCAAACCAAAGCGTGGTAAGTGGGGTTCCTGGGAGACCTGCGTCGCCAGCGTGTGCTGCTCTGCACTGAAATGGGAGAGCGCCTGTGATCTGCCACAGGAACTCTGCACGTGACAGATTGCTGTTACAAATTGGGATTTTTTTTTAATTCAGGTGGGTCCTTATTTAACCATCATGAGAACATACATTATTACTTGCTGTCCTTTCATAGGCCAGTCCCTGCAGAATCTGTGGGAGGATGAAAACAGTTACCTGGCAGTGGCTGGGGTTTTCCTAGATGAGTCTCTGTATATTGACCTCCCCCAGCACCTTGGAGCCCTGGCAGGCAGAGCTGTGCCTCTGAAGAGGTGTCCCAAGAAGCACTTGCTTCCAGCAGTGATTAGCAACCTGAGTAAATGTGCCTGTGATGTCAGTATGATATCAGGATCTCTAAGAACTGGAGCCATTCATGCCCAGCCTCTCTCCTGGCCTGGCAGGATTCAGTTGGTAGCAGAAAAGAGCCACTTCTGTACATGGCTGAGCTGTTGTGCCCACAGAAAGCAGAGTCTTGGCAGCATTTCTTTACATGCTTGTGCCTTGGATGATCGCTGTTCTCTGCAACAATTTCTGATGGCAGGAGGTGCCATCCAGTGATGCTGTAGGATGAAACTGGTGGCCAGAATTTTGTGAGTTTTATTAATGATTACATTTGTAGGAGTGCCTGTCAGAATGAACGCTGTGCAGTGAGGACACACAGATGCACAGTGTGTGAGGTTTCTGTCTCGGTGTGGCTCCCGTTTCTTGGATTTGCTATAAGTTTGAGTGATCTGGAATGACTCACTGAGACCACTCATCTCCAGAGTGCCACGTAATGGCCATCTCATCCTGGATGAACACACTGACAGATGCACAGAGGGGCTGGATTCCACGTGGTCCAGTTAGGCAGTGCCGGGTGCCTGGCTGACTCCAAGTGGCATCTAGAACAAGTCCTTACATACTTACATACTGTCCTTCTGCCTTTTTTGACTCAGTTTCCACATTTAATACACAGTTAAACATATTCTCCCTGCCTCACAAAGTTCCTGGTGCTTTATACATGAAAGATGCTGTATAAACGCTCTCTCTATCTATTTATATATTTTTCTTCAACAAATGAATGTCATCTTTGTACAATGAGAAGCTGAAATCATTTATTGCTGCAGTCTGAGGAAGTTAACGTCCTGCCTGCAGCAGGCCTGTTTAAAAACAATTTATAGGACAAAGCACAGTAATAAGTTTGTATGCCTGTAAGAGTCTCGTTTGCCAGACGACACAACTCTGACTGCAAGACTTTGCAGGGAGAGATTCTTTGACTGCTCAGTATTTATATAAAATATTGACAATGAGACTATCAGATTCTTCTCTTAATGTACTTATAAATATTTGGATCTTTCATATTTCTCAAGAAATATTGTACCATTTTGTCTTCCCTTTGCCACAGAACTAGGAGGTTATTAAAATGAAGAACTGCCTTTTAGCCTGTAGTGTCTTGGTCGGGAAGATTATTTGTGCATATTTGCCTTGCTGTGTGAGCTGCTGTATATTATATAAAGTACTGTGACTGTGGTGGTGATTCCCCTGTTCTGTTGCTTTGCTACAACTTTTCCGTTCCCTTCAAGCTTCACAGATAAATTTATATCGCTTCTGACAGCTTAAAATGTTATATCCTTATTAACCTTTAAATTTACGCTGTAAACTGGCCTGGTGGGATTGCATATGGAATGATTTAGATGACGCTTGAGAAAATTTTCTTATCCAATAACTAGTTTGAACAGTTATTCTGTATTCATTATGAGACTGTGTTACTGCAAGGGAAGTCGTTATCACTTGTGGTGTTGCTGGAGAGTAGGAAATGATAATGTTAATGCTCATTAGTGGAGTCGTTATGAAAAGAAGAAATAGAAAATAATTTTTTTTCTGCCTTCCACAGTATATTGAAATCCATGGAGTTTGCACCATCCGAAAGCTCTGGGGCGCAGGTACTGAACCTACCTTTGCTTTCTTACTTACTTCAGCAGTCCAGTTCATTAGTAAGGATTTTGTCTTGCAATTCATTGGCGTTGGCGTGGCCGGCTTCCTGGTGGTGTTGGGACATAGGGGTTGATCGTTGTCTTCCTGCTGTTTTCTTATGTAAAAAGCTGAATTGAACATTTTTTCTGTATTAATTTCTTTTAAGTGGTCAAGGACAAAGAATGACGTTTGAGCTGTGCTGGATTGGATAACCATGATGTTGTGAATCTTAAAGATACTAAGGCTGGTGTGCGGCTACACCGAGATCTGCCTGTTTCTTGTACTGAATGTACCCTGCGCAAGGATTTTGGCATTTTTAAGTCTTTGTTAGCCTTGAAAATAATCTTCACAAAAGAAAACAACCCTTTGAGTACTGAGAAAGCAGGAGAAAGCTCTGCTATTCCAGAGAATTTATCTTTCTTAAGTTTAAAGTTTATGAATTAAATTCCTGCTTCTGAAATCTGAACTGAATATCAATATACTAGGATTAATTTTCCATATGTTTTTTGATAATGATCAAGGGTTGGCTCTTTAGTGGAAGGCAAATGGCAGGTTTCTGTGACTGATGGTATTTTTGAACAAACTGTTTATGCTGAAGCACAGCATTTCAAGGAACTGCTTAACTTGGGTCTGTTGACCTAGAAGAAATAATATCTGAACTCGTATTTAATCAGATTAAAAGAAGTGTATAGCTTTTAAATTAAAGTGTGCCTGTACCATTTTAAAATAAGTAGGATTAAGAAAATGTTCTGTTACACATTTCAAAATCATGCAGAATTGATGGGTGATTTACAGTGAAAATTAAACAGTGAATCTCTTCTGTGGCTCATGCAGGAGCACTGAGCGACTCCTGCAAATATACGCGTGGTGAATTCCCCAGCTGCATTCGGAGCAGTGATGAGCACTTGTTTTCTTCTTCTGAATCCTTTTTAGTGCCTGAGTGAGACTCTTAATGCTTTTAGAAACAAACCTCCCCCTTTGATTTTCTCTAGGATGCGTCGAAGCCGCTGGAGGTGCTGCTGCTGGAGAAGAACCGCGCGGTGCAGTCGGAGAACACCACGCTGCGGATCACCAACAGCGACCTGAGCGGTAGGTGGACACCGTCCTGGCTCTTCTGGTTCATTGGCTGTCTGGTGAAGGGAGGGAGGGCTGAGTGAGAGATGAGTGTCTGAGCTAATGCATGATAGAAAGATGAAGAGGCAACAGGAACACTGAGTAACGTTTGATTTCTGCAGTTTTGTAGACTGGATAATAAAATAAAGCTTGGAGACCTCGGAGTCTGCAGAGGTTAGGAAGGAGAGGCAATACAGCTGTACGCAGTGGTAGCGTTTGAGGCTGTCTTCTGTGTTGGGAACAAATTCATCCGTGGCACCAGAAGTCTCTTTCCCCCCACACAATGTTACGCAAAATGTTGGCATGTAGAACACAATAATCTTCCTGTCTGATACACTTAGATACACCACCAGCAGGTCAGCTTGGAAAAACAAAATACTTTCTTTTTAGCAAAGCGTGTTTGCCGTTTAGCTCTCCTGACGTGGGCTTTTTACATCTTGTGTGCACATTTTTTAAATGGCAAGTCATGGAATTTCCAGATACTTGAATGCTTATGGTTTTTGCAGCTGGAAGAAAGCTAAAAGTTGCCACTGGCCCTGGGATTACTGAATTCTGAAGCGTTTTATGACTTTAACTGAGTGATCTGGTGATTCCTTTATTCAAATTGGTTTGTTCCAAAATGTAAATGTTTGCTGCATTTGGGTTCAGTCAGGTCCGATGAGTAATGTCTTGAATGAGAGACAACAAAGAGACTTGCTGTCTGTAACTGCATTTATTTTAAATGTGTAACTGCACTTCATGTCATTGTTCCAGTGTGAATGTTTGTAAGGGGGATTCTCCAGGCTGCAACATACAAGAAAGGTGCAAACATGAAATGCATGTTGTTTGTTTTGGGGGCCTTGTTTGGCTTACTAAAATTTCAATTATGGAAAAAAAAAAAAAAAAACTAAAACAAACCAAAACCAAAACTGAAAACAAAATCCCCACTGCCACTTCATTGGCCCTTGTAAATCTGCACTTTTTCCCTTTGCGGGGCAAACTTTGCATTTTTTTATCTTGGTTTTTCCCTCTTTGATCCCCCATAATGCATTATGTTTGACCTTCCTTGTAGGGTCAGCCAGGAGAAAAGGGAAAGACCAGCCTGAGAGTCAGCGTCCTGCAACCTTGCCGGCCTCCCCTCCTTCTCAGTTGCTCCGCAACGCGGGGGAGCAGGCTTCCAATACTAATGGTACACACCAGTTCTCACCAACGGGTTTAAGTCAAGACTTTTTCAGCTCATCCCTGGCGAGCCCCAGCTTACCCCTGGCCTCCACAGGAAAATTTGCACTAAACTCTCTCCTCCAGCGACAGCTAATGCAGTCCTTCTACTCCAAGGCAATGCAGGAAGCAGGAAGCACAAGCATGATTTTTTCAACAGGTCCTTACAGCACAAACTCCATATCTTCCCAAAGTCCATTACAACAAAGCCCGGATGTAAACGGCATGGCCCCGTCTCCCAGCCAGTCAGAAAGTGCTGGGAGCGTCTCCGAAGGCGAGGAGATAGACACAGCCGAAATTGCACGTCAGGTGAAAGAGCAGTTGATCAAGCACAATATTGGACAGCGGATATTTGGACATTATGTGTTGGGACTGTCGCAAGGGTCTGTGAGTGAGATACTGGCCCGGCCAAAGCCATGGAATAAACTGACTGTGAGAGGCAAGGAGCCCTTCCATAAGATGAAGCAGTTCCTCTCGGACGAGCAGAACATCTTGGCTCTGCGCAGCATCCAGGGCAGACAGAGAGGTAAGCGCCCGCCGCCCGGGGGCCCTGCCCTGCCTTCCTCTGAGCCACAAATGCTAAAATATGGAGGTTTCCCTGTACGGGGCCGCTTGTGCACTGCTGCTGTTGTCACCCAAATCAGGTGTCAGGCACAGAGAGTGCAGCTTTCTAGCTCTGCTTTTCAGCGCTCAAGCAGGTTAGTATCTTTGCTTATGCTTTTTTTAGCCGCTGACTTGTGTTTGTCAGCGGGAGCGAGCAGCAGGGACACCTCCATCCCTCCCTTCCCAACAGGCCCGTGTCAGAGCTCAACACAGAGTGAAAAGGGCTGGTAGTACTAAGGGTATCAGCCCTCAAAAATACTTGAAAATTTTTATTTGAGGTTTATTGAGACCAGACTTTTGTTACATCTTGTGTTATTTTTTTTTCCGAAGTGTTTTGACAAAATACATAGGTGATGCATAAGGTGAATGATGAAAAACCAGTCCTAACTTACTGCAGCTTTGCATATTTAAGGCAGTGATTTTAAGAAATAACATGCATTTCATTGTGATTCATCTCCAGCAAAGACTGAGATTTACATTTAGAGAAACTGAAAAGTAAGTTGTTTATAGTCGAGAAATATTGGAAAGGACAGGCAGGATTTTCCTAGATTTTGTTTAATTGAAGGCGCACACTGTTAGATTTATAATCTGCTCTTCCTTTTGATGATTGTACTTGAGGGGATTATCTGCCCATCTTTAACCTCTTCATTTTTGGTATCTCTAGACATTTATTTATATCTGTCTAATCTTCTTTCCGAACGTAGCTGTAATCTTTATTAACAAATCAGCCAGCCTTGCTTCTTCCAAAGTAGCCAGCTCCTCAGCGCTCAGCCCACGGCCCGAGGGGGCAGAGACAGGCTGCTAGCTTCTCATGTCACACAGCCCATGATGTCAGAGCAACCATCCCCTGATTGTTTTGTTCTTACCAAACTTGTTTTTCAACAGAGAATCCAGGCCAGAACCTGAACAGACTATTTCAGGAAGTACCGAAACGAAGAAATGGGTCTGAAGGTACGTCACAGGCAGGTGTTTTTCTTTGCAGTCAATACCTAGGAAGTGGAGTGTGCTTTAGCTGTGTGTTGCCTTAAAACTGTGCAGTTTGATTCTGGCCTGGAATCTGATAGAAAAACAGACAGTAAGTATAAAACAAACCATGGGTTAGACGAACACTTTGCTTTTTCTAATTCTGCTGCTGCTGTACTAACGTAACCCTCTTTGGATACTTTTTCCCCTCCCAACATCGCTGCGTGTGCAGATAAAAAGAGATCAGTGACAGAAGTGGCTTTATAAAATCATCACATCTATCACAGTGCTCTCTTTGCTATTTTTGTCATTTTGGAGGGAGAAACTTCCACAATTATGTATAATCCAACATCAATCACTTATTGCTTCTGCTCTAGATTTACTTCTTTCTTCTCTTGGGGCTTATGTTGAGAATCACACTTTAATACACTGTTAAATTAGTGTGATACTTCAGTATGGTGTATGAAGCGACAAGAAGATAAGCAACCATCAGATCAATAAATTATCACTGAACAGGAAATGCAAACATTTCTCTTCATTGTAGATTGGTTGCAGACTTTTTCTTTTAGTGAGACAAGAGGAGGAAGGAAAAACAAACACAAGTACCCCAAAATTCTGTAGTAATTTTTACTCCAGTCAGAAAGTATCTACCTCACTTAAAAATTGTAATCTCATAATGAAAAATGCAGTTAAATGCAGTAGCTTTCATAATCGTGATTTTCCCTCCTTTTCTTCCCCTGAGTGGTTAAAAAAGCAAAACAAAACCAAACAGCCAAGTAATAGCTCTTAGCTGGAGAGTACTTCAAATGTATCTGCGTTTAAATGACTGTTTCTCTTAATGTATTAACCTCTAGGAAGTTAAAAATTATTTTTGTCTAGTTACTTTTTAATTTTATTTTGGGCTGAATGTATGCTCATCCTACTTTGCCTAGCAGCTGATGCTATTTTTAAGGTGATTCCTGATCTTATGTTTTTACCTGTCTTCCTTTCCTCTGGCTCTTTTCCCTTCTATCTCCTCTCCCCCTCCAAAAAGAAAAAGAAGAAAAAAAAAAAAAAAGGAAAAAAAAATATAGATGTATCTATATTACCCTGGAAAAGGAATATATGAGCACCTAGTTCTTCTGACAATGCTGTCAGTGTTCTCATTGTCCCAGTGCAGTAGCAGGCAGGCTTGGGCACAAGGAGGATGTTTTTCTGTTGTGTTAAGTATGTTCTTGATGTTGTAAATGTTGGTAAAGGTCCTATGTAAACTTTCGTCAGGTCATGCTGGTAGAATATCAGTATATGCTGTCTGTCTTTGCATTAAAAAAACAACCAAACAAATCAAAGTTTGCCCAGTGTCATGAGTTTTGTTTTCCTCTACAGGTAATATAACCACAAGAATCCGAACCACAGAGACTGGCTCTGATGAAGCCATCAAATCCATTCTTGAACAAGCCAAAAGGGAGCTGCAAGTACAGAAAACAGGTACGCTTTCATTTTGTCTCTCACTTCTTTTATTTCAGAATTTAATTAAAACAATTACCATGAGCTTTCTGGTCAGTTAATTATATTATTAAAACCTTGAATGTTGGTTTGAAGAGCTCTTTTTATTATTGTTTAGTGGAGTTGTTTCTGTCTATAAGACATCCCAAGTTAAGGTTACACGTGTCACAGCTTGGCAGGGACTCTCCCTGCTCCCCGGGGAGCCACACTGAGATTTCTAAAGACCTTTTCCACGTGCATAGCTCTGCCTTCTTCACACCACTGCAGAGGTGCAGGCAGTCACTCTGCAGGATAAACCTACTACACCCTTCCTTCTACCACTTCACTCCTTGGAAAGGGACCAGCTCCTGCTTTCTCTTCTCTCCTAACTCATACCCTAGGGACACAGCTTCATGGGAGAGGGAGCTGCATAGATGTGTCAGGGTGAAGGTCACGATGTGGCCAGCCACTACCAGTCATGTATTACCACCATACTGTGGACATCGTGTACTGAATCTACAATGTAGGCAAACTCAGTTGTAACTTTTATGTGACTTTATTTTTGGCTACAGAACGCATTCAGTGAATCAACTTGCAAATCCAAAAAGCATTTCCTTTCCCCAAAACATCATTATTTTATCCTCTTAGCCCAAGCTAAGTTTAATTTCTCATTGTATGCTGTCGTGTAATTCATATTGCTGCCTACCTCATAGCCCACCCAACTTTAGCAGGGCTTCCAGTACTGTTAAAGGGCTAAGGCTGAAATAGAAAGTGCTGTGCAATACTTTTGTTTCAATTTTTAAAGTAAATACTGATTTACCATTTTGGATAGTTGTCTTTTAAGTGAAAACTAAGCTAATCTTGTGGCAAAATATAAAAGACTAGTTAATACAAGATTTAAATAATATGACTTCATACAAGTAATGATTACATAAAGAAAAACGTGGGCTGTTTGCCCTGCAAACACGTTGTTCAGGAGTATGTTTTTGTCTGAGAATCTCAGACTGCCTTTCAGATATTAATTCAGCCTCAAAACTCCCTGTGAAACAAGTAGATAAAACAGAAGAGATAGTCCCACTGTCTCTTTTCACGTTTCTTAACTTTTCATGTATTGTGTAGTGTCTGACAGGAAGGAATTTAGGAAGGCAAATTCAGAAATTACTCAGATGTGGCATAATGTTACTACAGTCATGCACAGCGTGCTTCAAATCTTATTTCACTGTCAGGCCACTTCTTGCAGCATAGGGGTTCCCTGTTGCTATCTAGTGCTTCACTTTCCCTGTCCTTTGTAGAGTAGCTTTCAGAGGAGCTGGTTTTCAAGCACTGGGGACCTCTAAGTTGAATGGAAACAGATGCCATTGCCAAATCCTTCTGGCTCTGCAGAGATAATTGTACACCCACGTTCCAGTTCCTGCTCACCCCTGACTGGTGCAGCACAGCCCCCAGGGCCTGGTTCACCTCTGAGATGCTGCCCTGGGCTGCCACCGCTGCGGGAGCGCCCGCGGCCCCGCGCGAGCCCTCGGCTGGGCAGAGCTGGGTCAGCCTGGCTTCTGCAGAGCTCTGTCGTTCAGTGCTTTGGACCATGGGACAAGAAAACAGGAAGCAGGAGCATTATTTACCGTGTCAAATGAATGATGAAGCCTTTTACTAAAGTTCTTGCTTTGTTGTAATTGGAGTGTTACATTCTTGGAGGTGAAAGGACTCTGTTTATTTCTACTGTGAGAGGGTATTAATAGTCTGTCCAGGTGAATGCAGCTGTGCTCAGCTTTGAGCGTGTGCTACGATTCGTCTGTGGAGATAGAAGTGAAAGGTTAAATAACTTTGTAAATCGAACTATTAAATGTTATTGACCAATTGGGGTGGGGGAGGAAGAGGTGAAGGCTTGATTTTCAAAGGCATTTATTTGAAAATTTTTACAGTGGTGGAAAAGATGCAAGTAGAACTAGACTTGTGCAGTTGAGTCTGTGTGTGCAAATATCCAGCACTTTGGCAACTATAAAAATTTTCCAGTGAAGAACTTTGGAAATCTTACCTTATCTTGAAAAATGCAAGTGTTTGCTTAGTGAGAACTCCTCCCTCCCATCCTGAAATATATTGCAGCCTTTTTTCTGACAGGGAACTGTTTACAGTAGCACGTGTTGAATATAAAGCATATTCCTGTGTTGCATTTAGTCTTTTGGTTGTTTTTCATAGCTGAGCCGGCTCAGCCTCCTTCTGCATCTAGCAGTGGCAATTCTGATGATGCTATTCGATCCATTCTGCAACAAGCCCGGCGCGAAATGGAGGCACAGCAGGCTGCTCTTGAACCTGCCTTAAAAACACCACCTTTATCTCAAGCTGACATTTCTATCCTGTCCCCCAAACTAGTATCTACACCTGCAATGTCTTCGGTTTCCAGCTATTCTCCTTTGGCCATATCCCTGAAGAAACATTCATCTGTCACTGATTCCAGTATCTCTGCATTGCAGAACCTCTCTGGGCTCAAAAAGGAGCCTCAGGAGGCACCTGTTTTAGAGCTTCATGGAATAAGTGATTCTGCCCAGGGTATGTTGAGGCATGTTAAAAATGAGTTGGGACGTGGTGGTGTTTGGAAGGACCATTGGTGGAATACTGTGCAGCATGAGAGAAGAAATACAGCTCTTCCCGAAGATATAAAAGTTGAGGAAGCCAGTGGTGGAAAAGAAAAGGTCAGCAATCAGACTAGGCCAGATCGTAGCCAGCTCCAAGGACCATCTTCTTCAGAATATTGGAAAGAGTACTCCGTACTCCCAGAGTTCTGAATTGAGCATGACTGGGGCAAGTCGCAGTGAGACGCCACAAAATAGCCCTCTCCCTTCATCCCCTATCGTGTCCTTGTCAAAGCCATCCAAACCTTCCGTTCCTCCACTGACACCCGAGCAGTATGAGATTTATATGTACCAGGAAGTGGACACGATAGAGCTAACTCGGCAGGTCAAGGAAAAGCTAGCAAAGAATGGCATCTGCCAGAGGATCTTTGGGGAAAAGGTAAAGAACTGGTTCTCTCCTGTGGCACTGGCGTGGTGAACGTGCGTCGTGCTCCTTACGCCGGGCGGGGCTCGGCGGGGCGGGGGGGACGTCCCCCCACCCCTCTCACAGGGAAATGATTTTGCTCCATATGTGAAGTATTTTAAAACTAAGCTCCCGAAGGAAAGTATATGTCTTCCTTTATTTTGTGAAATGCATAGGTTTCTGTACAAAGATTGGCTTCAGCCACTTGTAATTAGGAACGGGGCCCTCGCGTTGAGAAACACTGAAAGCTGAAGCAATTAATTGTTAGAGACTCAATATTTCATGCTTAATGTAATGAACTCATGGAATATTTGAGTCATACCGTTGTCATGACTGGAGAGTCTTAGATTTGTTAGAAGTGAAGATTATGGACACGAGAGCATTTTTCCTTGTTTTTTTTAATATTTGGAAATGTGCACAAGGGTGTTTAAACAAACACATGGAAAATCCCCTGCCTCTCTTTAGTCTGAAGTCAAGAATTCACAGTCATTCCTTATACCTGGTGCTTGGTACCTTGGTGTGCCTTGAGACATTTTTAAGCAATGTTTGATTGGAGCTACACGATGCATGATAAGGCTTTCTGAAGTCCTCATGTTGTGGGCTCTAAGCCTTGAACACGTGGGATTTCGGGAGGGTCCCCAACCGCCAGAACACACTTCCCAGGCTGTAAGGAGAGGTGGACGTCTGGCATTTCTTCTTCCTATGAAGAATTGAATCAATATAATAGTATAATAGGAGCTGGCATCGCACTATTACCTTTTCACCAAGATGTAAAATGAAAAGCCTGACCTCTTGGGGTCATTAAAGATTCCGTGGCAGCTTTCATTAAGTATGATTTTTAACCCCTGTACCTCTGCTGAATTCCAGGCAAGTAATTGCGTTCTGCCTGTCTGAAATTCCCCCTTTGCTGCAGTCAACTGTATTCTTAAATATTTACTTACATGAAGCAGCCACTGCTACAGGTGAAAACACACATTTTTATAATTCATACCAAAAAAAAAATCAACCAAATATAGGCCTAGTCTCAAAAGTCCCAATTATTTTTGTTTGAGAACAAAATACGTGCCAGTCACTTACTGTTTTATCTGCCTGTGTGTGCCTGGACTCTGTGTTTTTCCTGCTAGAACTGAGGAAACTGTTTGACACAAAATATGAAAAGCATGCAAATCTTGCAGCACCCGTCTGCTGTTGGTGCTGTCGCTCTGTTCCTGCAGGAGAAACCCCACATTCCAAAGGGAAACCATGGCAGGAGAAGAGCATTTCCATCAGAGTACCTACAGATGACAATCTGCATATTTAGTAACTGTCCTTATAAAAATGTTTTGAGCGATAGAGCAGTAAAGGAAACCAAAGTGACTTAAATTACCCCCCTTCCACATCAAGTGTGTTAACGTGCCATTCTTGGTTGCTTCACTTCAGGTATTGGGGCTGTCCCAAGGAAGTGTCAGTGACATGCTCTCCAGGCCAAAGCCATGGAGTAAATTGACCCAAAAAGGCCGAGAACCATTTATTCGTATGCAGCTCTGGTTGAATGGTGAGCTGGGACAGTGTGTCCTGCCTGCACAAGGGCAGCAACAAGGACAAGGTAATTAAAATTCCACTATGTTGTTTGAGTTGAGGAGGAGGAAATCATTTTTTTTGCTCTTTTTTTTCTTTTGGTTTGTTTTTTGTGTCTCTCAGTTAAATTTGCAGTAAGTGAGGCCTGCACCCGGTGCTAGTCCAGGTGTTGCTGAGGTGGCAGCTCCCACCCTGGCAGCCCAGCCAGGCCCCGGGTGACGTGCTGGGGGTGGTTCCACACCCAGTGCTCCTTCACGTGGAACTGATAAGCAGCAGTTATCGAGTTCCTAATTGGGATGATAATACCTAGGCATGAATATGTGTCCCAAACCAGGATAATGTGATATGTAATTTGAAAAATTTTGGCCAAAGAGCTGGAAAAAGTCTTGTGTACTGTTTTCTAGGGTTGCGTAATGGGGTTTTACTGTCCCTAGGAGAGTATTGATTGCTTTCTCAGGAGGTGAACTAGAAGAAATAAGCTTTAAAGGGGGAATGCTGTGTTGAAATTATGCTTTTATTGTGGCTCTCTCTTATCCTAATACCTATTGATACAGAAAGGCCAGCCCAGAGCTGGCCTTGCTTGTACCCCTATAATGCCACTGACTTAAATGAGCAGCGTGCCCTTGCCAAGATCAGCAGTTTGCTATTTGTTGAGCCTGCTTACTGTTTAGTTTGTGGTTTGGCATCTCCTTTCATTGTTCCCTGATTTTCCTCTCCTCTCTTATCTAGTCCTTCACTCTGTGACATCATTACAGGATTCCCTACAGCAGGGATGTGCAAGCTCAGGTAATCAGCTGGTTTCAATGATTTGCTCTGAAATAATTCTCTGTGCTTTTGTAACGTTTCCTTTGCTTTGATGCCAAGAGGTTTCTCGTGTTTTGTTGTATCATACAGGAGTCCCTTCAATTCTTTTATTAACACAGTTAATTCCTCGTTCTCTCCTCGTTGCTATGGCAGATGTAGGGAGCACACATTTAGCTGCCTATAAAGAGACTCTGTCTGATCTTAGATCATTGGTTCTGTAGGGTTTTTTTTTACCATAGTTCAGCTTATCAACTTGACATGTGACAATGGTTGTAAAACAAGCCTTTCGTTTGTAATGTGATCTACATACCCCAGCTGCCTTACTCACTGGCATATTTTTTTGCCACTTTCATTGGCACAAAATCTGCTTTGTTAATTTGAAGGTGGGGAAAAGATCACGTTACACCTTTTCTAGCTTCGGGTTTTTTTCTCCTTCCCCTTTCTGTTTGCGAAAAAGCAGATGCAGCAAAGATGAATGTCAAAAGAGAAGTGAATTGCTACAGGTTTTATAAGATGGCCACAGTATAGGAAGGAGGCTGGAACAGAACAGCTGTGTTCCTGCTGTTAGATACCAAACTCTACCCACACAGACTTTTTACCAATGATAGCCTTAACTGACGTAAAACACTCGGGCTGTTTTGTACTCTAGAAAAATACTTGTGCCCTGCTGTGTACTTACAGTGCCCTGTGTTGGAGAATTACTGCATTTCAGGATACAGAGAGGGAGGGGCTGTGCTCGTCTTCCACAATTCTGCAATTCTGAAACACCCTTTTTTCCTCGAGCTTGCTGGGTTTATTCTGAATATCCACACCAAACTGCTTTTTACTCTCTACTGGGAGACTCTTTAGCGTTCTAAAAGATTTTGCTAGAACTAAATCCATGAAGATATTCAGTCCACATTTTTCTTAAAGGAGAACCGTTGAAAATAAATAGATAAAAGAAAAAATAATGCCCCTGGTAAAAACAAGCCATGAAATAAAACTAAAATGGGAAAAAATTGTTTGCAATCATAGGGCTATTGTTACTCATAGCCAAGCATTTAGCAAACATGGAAATTTCCTGCAATGTTTTATACACTGCTGATCATTAAAAGGGTGCCACTGACTACTTTATTTGTAGCTTCAATACTGTGCAAGAGTAACTGTTACAGTTATAAATGCTTAAGACACCATGGAAAATATGAGTAATTAATTGTAGCCATTTTAGGAGGAATTTGAAATCAGAGGAGCTGGGAAAAGGCTGCATTGTTATTGCTAATCACAGTATTTATGACTAAGTGTAATTACAAAGATTGAAAGACAAGCCCGTGGCGTTAGGACGTGAGCACCTGACGGATCCCGTGAGGATCCATGTGCTGAGAGTGGTTTCCTTCGGGAAGCCGAGTTTTGCTGCCGTGATATTTTGCTCCCCTCCCACACTCCCAATCTCGGCTGTCAGTTCCTGCCCTTGAGCCAATGTTTTGTGAGGTGGTGTGTTCCTATCGGCTAATAAAATCGTATTATTGATGATTGCCCTCCTTCCTCCCTTAAAGCAGACTCCCAAATGAGAAAATGGGCTCGTGCCCTTTTCTTCCTCCTTTCCGACGGTTAAAAATAAAACTGTTGTACAAGGCGCTCTGTTCTTGGTGCCTTTTTCTGCATAAGGGAATAAGGATGGTTGTGACACTGCACAGAACAAAAGAGTGGAACCGAGGGCTTTGAATGAGGAAGGGCAGTTTGGTGATTTTCTTTTCTTAGCAGCTGTTCTGTAATTAAAAGCGCAGCAAACAGTTTGGAGAAGGTAATAATAATTATGCGTTTGTGAGAGATCCTCCACTCCAGGGCAAAAAAGAAAAAAAAAGAGAGCTCAAATTTTCTGGTCTTCTGAGACATTTCCCAGGAAACTGGAGACAGAAAAGGTTGCATACTTGTAATTTTAAAACAGAAATTAATCAGAACAGTTTTGAAATGAGGAAAGGTCTGGAGCCTTTTCCATGTAATATAATTGGCTTGGAACTTGTTGAATGCATGAAGGGAAAGAAGTGAAATTAAACTAATACGTTCAGTGGCTCCTGAGTGCTTTGCCAAGAAGGTCTTCAGTGTACAGAGTGTCAACATGCATAGTTACATCTCAAACTTTTATTAGCTGTGAGTTTTTTCATTACTGTTTGGCACTATTCTGACTAGCAAGATTTTCAGGATTTCTGACCCAGTTAGTTATACTTGTAGATCATAAGGTTTTGATTAACACTTCATTCATGAAAATCTCTTCTTTTGTCCCATAATTTTCCATTGTCGTACATGGATAGATGGACCCATCAGTCTCTCATATGTGGGAATGAACAGATAAGCATTTTTTTTCATTATTATGAATTTTTATACATATATTTTGAGATAGCAAAGAGAAGTGAGGCTTGCTTTTCTTCTTTGAAAGCTATATTTATCACTTTTGAAAAAAGCACGGTGTATACCAAAATTTCAAGCAGATCCATATCTATATTTTCTGCCTGTGACCTTTCATCAAGGCTTTGGTGATTCTGTGCAAGTTTCAGTGGATGTGATTTACACAAAAATGGTGTCTGTACCCTAGGTGGTCAAAAATAGTATCGCTGTGCCGCTTCTAACATTTTCTCTGTGTATTTCTTTCCACCTAAATGCTCTAATGCCCTTGGGTAGATCTGCCTTTTTAATGATTTATGTGTCAAAAGCACAGACCAAATCACATCCGGGAAAAAAAGTTGAATTAGTGTCACCCAACTGCATCAGCATTTTTTCATGATGAATTTGGCCCTTATTTAGTTGCATTGCTGATGATCAGAGCTGGGTAGGGCTTGGACAGTAGCCACGTGCCAGAGGAAGGTTTATGCACTTGGATATTTTTCTAAATACTTGTGCTGTGTGTACCTCTTACTAGTTTGTTTGGGTTTGGGGTCTTAGGTCTTTACTGGCCATCAATACGCTGTTAAGACAAAGTTTCTTTTTTGGTGCTGTTGATTTCATAGCTGCTCCCAGGAAAACTAGATTTTTATTCACTTTTGTATTTATCTTCTGTGAAGGACATACACTTTCTATATACTACATTAAAGACTTGCAAATACTCAGTGGGAGGAAGACGTGCCTTTCTGGTATGTGTTTCTGTAAGGGTCGTCTCATGACCTAATGTGGAAATCTTCATTTGCCGATACAGCTGTGGGTGATCTCAGGGGATTTTGAATTTCCCTTTTGTTTGTCTTCCTTTCTGGGTATCATCCATCATTCCTAACCTCATGCTGCTTAGCAATAGTAACACTCATGGGAGTTGAAGAAAGGATTACAGCAGCATAAAATGGGGAGCTAATTAGAGCTTGTTTCAAAATCAGAATCTAGCTTGAGATAATTGCATATTATCTGGTGATTTAAAAACCCAAGATCTACTGTATTTAGATCAACTAAAATATGCATAAAAGCTTTATTTTCAAAATAAAACATTTGTAACAACAGGGAGATTACTTCTTATCATCCCTTGGGAAAGAAAATCTGAGAAAATATCCGAACGCGATCCCTGGTTTACTGGGGTTATGATGTTAACAGACATATTGTGGAATGATGACAAACCCAGGTATCCATTCTATTTGTATTTATGTAATACATATTCCTGTAATATCTTTCAGTACAGAAGCTGCTGAGTAGCTGGATAGATCTTCCCATGTACCTAGTAACAGAAGGGTGCTCTCACATTGGCTGCTCGGACAGGGACCAAGTGGGCAGAGTGTTTTCTAGACTTGCAATCTATGTTCAGGATTACCTTCCTGTTGTGCTTACAGGAGGAGCTCATCAGCCATGTGGTGGCAGTGGAGAAGCTCTTACCTTCCCATTTCTTCATGGTTTGTGATTATTTCTGCCCTTGTAGTGTTTTGTTCTGGACAGACAGACCTGCCTGAGATGGTGCTCCAGAGCACAACTGGAATTAGCACATGAACAGCTGCATCCTTAGTACCTGGAGATGAGACAAGTGATCACTGCAGTGATGCTGACAGATCTGCCCAAATTTGAGCTGCTTTTTGTTGTTAAGTCAAAAAGAAGAGAGAGGTTGTTTTGCAGTCATTTGCTGGCCTTCCAGGTTATTAAAATTGTATGACATTAAATGTTTCTGGTTAATGTAGTCTATAAAATGGAGGAGAAGGGAGATCACATGGCAGCCGAGTAGTTGGGCTGCAGGAATTCCTTCTATAGATGGTCTATGTTTGATGACCAATTTTTGAGTCTTTGCATGTGGCTGAGAAGGCTGGCTCCTTTTGTGCTAGGTACAAATGCATTTTTAAAGTTTGGAGCTGAACAACGAGGCCAAGCAGTTCCCTTCATGCTAATCTTGAAGCACACTGGCGTGTATTGATGAACTTTCTACATTCTTTTTGTGTGGCTTGAGATAGCAGCTCAGCAGTTGGCTGTGGCTGTCTTGATTTCAAACCATAGGGTATCAGTTGGCTCCTCATAAGGGCAGCTGTTGTAGTCTGTCTGTAATGTGTGTGATCATATTCTGTGCCATTTCCCTGACATTTGGACCATGAAAACCTTCCTGGCAGGCTTTCTGGTATCAATAAAGCTGGAGGAATCGCTGTCAAGGCACCTCGCTGGGACCTGGGAATGCAGCATGAAGTCAGTGTTGAGTTTGTTCCCCATACAACACTGGCTGTCATTGCTGGCCAGTTCTGCCTCTTGCCTTGGTGTGTCCTCCCCTGGCTATCCTGCATGGCCATAGTCCTTTGTCTGTTGGGGATGCTTTGCAAACCATAAGTATTGATAGAGAAATCCCTGCCCTACTTGTATTCTTTTTTGCCCATTTAACCACCCATTGACCAAACTTGCTGAAGATGACTCCATCCTCATTGTGGTCATAGCTTCACAGTTTTTAAGGATTAGTATTAATTAATATATTTTTTTAAGCTGTATGAAAAAGAAACTTTGATGACTATTATTGCAACTATGCTTCTGAAGTAGTTTATAAGAGCACCAGTCAGCATAAT